CCCTTGCTACTATAGTCTATAATCACTGATTGTTATAAAGAACCTTGGTATTGAGCTATATACACAATGCATACATTTGTATATAATGCATTACATATTGACAATTACATGTTATTATGGTACACTTGGACAGTCGTAAGACGAAGTGTAATTGGTACGTTGATATCAAGCTTTAATACTACGGTTCAAAGAATATATTCAACATTAAGGATAGCGTATCTCATGTCATTACATTTAATTAATGTACACATGCAATCGTCGTGTCTACTATGTAGTTTTAAACATGTTATCTGCATTATGTAAGTATTAAGCCTGATAACGTTTTAATAGGGAACATTTCAAAGGTTTGACAGTATATACATGAACTGCATTGTACCAGGTTTATATCTGAACAAATCGTTTGATTCTTTTACTGCATCAATCAAGATACATCGTTTTCTTAACAATACCACGATAACGTTAACGCCAACAAGAATATTTTACATCATATTAAATAAGATTGCCCCGCTATCTTAATACGAAGAAGTGATGAGGAAGCTAAGCGGAATCGCGACAATCTTACAATTTGTACCTTTTAGTGAACCACTATGATATTCACCAGTTTATTCAGTGACAGCGTTCATACATACACAATCGACACCGAATGTTCATATAATAGGAACACTTGCATACTAAAAGGGATCATTTTCGCGATGCATATATTAAGTCAGTCAGTAGAATATATCTGATATAAATATTGCTTGACTTTACTGAGGTTGTCTTAAACCTGTCGTTACTCGTCACCTGTAGTAACAGTTTGTTAGATCTGGACAATACAGACCGATATTTCTAAGCTTTTTTCAAAGTACTTTTATCCGTTACACGTTCACAGGTTTGTATGCTACTTATAACTGAATCGAACTATTATCATTCGTGCACATAAGGGCGTATTTACTGAGGATAGCCTCTGTGTAATACATTTAATAAATTCAGTTGTACGCCTTTACTGTGTTTACATTACTGTGTTTTACTTCCTGCACAGCCCACACACATTCCGCGAACTCAAAGGGTATATTTACTCAAATGTCTCGTTATACCTAACTGAGCTTTATTTAAATACCGGGTACTTGTAATTTAAGCACAGATAGTGACTTTGAATATATTATTATATTTTTCACTTAAGTATGTCTAGTGATCACAGAATATTGAGTCCCACTGGAATATATGTAGCTCTAGAAAAGTCTCCAACAAGATGCACAGAACAATGAAATATATTCGTAGTAAATTAGAATATTTAGAGTAGTGAAACTAGCGTCCATGAAGTAATTGATAGAGTATATTGTTGGAATATTTCGCAGAGAGACATTGTCAATGATGAATAGAAAAAGGAAGACTGGATGCAGCGCCTGATAATGTGATTGTGCCAGACTAGTGTCTGTGCATATTGGTGAAGTCATTTTTTTCAAATTCATTTAACATATATGCATCATCATCTAAAATATAGCACATTATGTTGTATGTGGGTATTGTTACTGTAGATATGTTTTATCGTTACATGTTAAATTTTCATCACGCCTACAGTCCCCTGTTTGTACAGTCATGTTATAAAACACGTGTAATGATAATATAACAGAGATGCCTTGAAATCCTGAGAAATGAGAACAATGGGAAATGTTAAGACAGTTCAGTGAATATGCAAAATGACAGGTGTTTATCAATCTTAACACAAATATAATATATTTGTTTCATTTTCATGTTTGAAATGCACTGGACAAATGGATGCCGTCAGTGATCAAGGTGATACTAATTTCTTACATCCCTTGTTTTTGAGAAGTTAAACAGCGTCATTCAGTAGTGTAAGATACGTGTACATGCCTGTTCAAAGTCGTGACTAGCTTTAAGAAGCTGGTGATTGGTTGTTGTTTCCCCTGCTTTTTTATTTCCTTTGTCGAGGGCGTTATCCTCTTTGCCACCCGACAATAAACCCACTTTTTACCTTTGCCTATGTATAGGCAAGGATTATTGATCAGGTATATTTATCACCGTAAAGCAAACTAGAAAGTATTCATAATCTGCCTGCCAACTTTTTTATAAAAGTGATCCTATGGTACAGTTTAAGCTTACAGAAATCAACAAAAATAATAGTAATAATTAAGAGCTTTGTAATATCGAGTACATCATTCATCCATTTTAGATCAAGGGTCGTTACTGATAAGTTTTGATTTATCAGTTAGTACTTATGATTCTCTAAACGCTATTGTGTAACAGTCACGTATAATGTAGCATTAAACAGAATATTTTTCCGAATAAACTCAATATGCAAAACAAAACAAAGAGTGTGTAATTCGATCTTGTCCTTCGTCGAGTTTTCTTTGTCTGACTTTGATTATTTCTTATTATACCTTTCTACTGTAATATTTCTACATAAACGGCTTTTATTTTATATTTTCGTTCGGTCATCTAATCTTTAAAAGACATCAAATATCTGAAGTTGGCGATAAAAACAGCCATATGTGAAGGGATACATGTGTCAGTGAGAGAATCGTTACTGTGTGCACTGAACGTAACAACAGGTGACGGAACACCTCGGTCTGTCCCCATTTGAAATCGGTATATCCTGTTTAGATACACCCAATCTTAATCTATAAACCAGGAAGTGTATGTAATGAGTGATATATGATATTAGAACATTATCATCCCATCTAGTAAAAAGCATCAACTGATGTATTTTTGTCTGTATAAAATGGTGTAAAGTTCATTTACAAATAGTTTTGTATGATTTCGTTGACAAATATCTCAAATTGATTCTAGATATGATACATTAACCAATTAGTTTGCTAATATATCACATAACCTAATTGTTCTATTGAAAGTGATTTTTGTTTTTTGTGTTTCTTTTCTTTTTATATTTTTAAATAGTCGTTTTAAATCCGGGTTAGTTGAGTTTGAATCGATCGACGCGTTGTTTGATTGTCTGGTTGAGGAGGCATTCTACCGTGTTCTACATAACTGCATATATTGTCATAATCTCAGCACAATGTTATGCTTACTGTGACCGATATGACACAAGATACAGTCATTTATGACAGGGAAGTTGTTGAACTTGTGCCACTAAATAAGACACTGTGGATGTGTAACTGAAATGTTTGTAAGGGAAAACAGTATCCAAATGTGAAGAAAATCGTTTCCACTCCAACCTTTGATCTATCTGCGAGTAGGCGGAAAACAAACAATATTGACTCCATCAATTCTTATCTACCGCATTTAATATCGAGTTTTATATGGATATTGTGTACCTCAAAAATTGTGTATCCATTTTAAGTTGGCGCACTAAATTTTTAATAATATGGTTTTGCCATAATGTTTGCTGTAGCCAGCAAGTCGACTGCTAGGGTTTTCTATTACAACTTTATTTTTTTTTAGTATCTAGTCATAACCAATTTCGTTGATATTTGCAGAAGGTTACTAATTTATCACTTTTCATTGTACTTATCCGCTCTTTACTTTCTTAATCTAAAATTATTGAAAAGATAGGATGTCGATAGCTATAAATTTAGACTCAAATCACGATCTTTTAAGAAGTCAATTAAAATGCATTTTTTATTAATCACTTTTACACACATTAGACAACTGGAATATATGGTTGACACAAAAATGACCTAATCTATACTAATAATGTACAAGTGCAAAATCGGTACTTTCAACGATCTTTAAAGTACCAATTACAATCACTACAGCCCGACATGTGCATCAGAAACGTAAATTCGCACCAAAAGGGAAATAATCCTTTCTTCAATATAGCGTAAATGGAAAGTAGTAGAAAATCAAGTTTGTTTTAAAATATTGTATATTTGATGTAAAAGCATTATACCTTTGTAAATATGTATTGATCAATTATCAGCCATCGATTTTTGTTGATGTTTATACGTTCTTATATAAAACTGGTATAGTGATATCGACTGCGGACGTAGTTCGGGGTCTATATTATTCCAGCAGGTCAATATATAGCGTAGTAATGGAGACAATTGTTCTAATTTTCATATAACATTGCATGTCTTTAGATAATATGAGAAATTAGATTGTCAAATAGTGGAGTGGTTTTCGGAACGAAATATCCTGATCTGAATTCAGAAACATAAAGTCGATATGGTCACGTGCAATAAAAGTGGGTCGAATACTTTATATCAACGAACCTGGGACCAGGGATTGGCTAATTAAGATACAGGGGAACCAGACCATATGTCATATTGAATAATAATGCGTTCGAGTACATGTACTATTTTTCAACAAACCGTTTGTACTTATATAGAATATAAGTATATGCGTGTACATCAACGTGAAATAGGCACAGCAACAACTTGATGAATGTCAGGAAATTAAGATATACAGTAACATTAGCTTGTCGGTGATACAAAATGAGACGTGACGTCATAAACGTTTGCTCATACAGAAAAGCAGTATTCTTTCAATTATGGTCACGCTGCCACAAAAGCACAGAAGTAAAAAAAAAAAAAACACAGCTGAATTACGCTTTCATTTGTACAAAATATATATTCAAAGTATTCTTTAATTATGGTGGAATATAAAACTCGGGCTCGGGATCCGAATTTTGTAATAATTTAACCATCATATCCCATACTAATACACGTTATACATTCAATTATTACACACGCACATATACTTATTATGTTTACATAACACCTTGTTATGTAGCGCAGGATGTCAAAGAAAACATTACCATATATTTTTGAATGATCTTAAATGCAATGTATTCACACATTACATATCGTACATATCTGTAATTGCTTCCGATAACATGCATTTTACTCGCCTGAATGTTCTTAAAATGAAACGTTTAAGAATTTGGAATGGAGTACAGGTTAAAGTGCAGACAGGAATTATTTTGTTAATTGATTTCCCTTGGTATGAAATCTTCTGTACATGTTTGGTACACATAAGGTCAAAATACGGTACCTGTAGATATATGGTTACTAACACTTAACAACACTAGAATCGCTCGGTTTGAATCTGCTGCCTGTCATCAGTCATTTGTTTATCTTTATTTCTTGGATCACACATGTTACAATTCACGAAAAGCAAGTGCATTTTATGCATTTAGTGCTAAATGTTTAAATCACACTGAAGTTGTACTTGGCTGCAGAAGGAAATGATATCACTACTAAACATGAAATTAAAACGTCATCCATAATCACATGTGCATTCTTTGCATGAGACATTACGTATGAACTGAATTCATCAAGGTATATCATACAGATATTAAATAGTGACATCATCAATATCTGACCCGAGGTGCTGGTAGTTGACGAGGTTTTGATCTACAAAGCAGGATGCATGGCATTTACATTTATTGACTCTTTTTGAATATTATGTTTCAGGAGGTTTTCAAGTTCAGATATTTTTGGCGACATATTTCAAATCCATCTTCTATTCAAAAATATTGTACAATTGTATATATTTTAATATATATATATATATAGTATGTTTTACTATAATAATCTGCGGAGGAAAACCCCGCTGTAACATTTACAGGCAGTCAGATGACGGTTAAATACTACCCAATATGAAATAGTATCACTTGTGTCCAATTACAATATCAATACATTGTCTGGTCAGATTTTCCAATACAGTATCATTTGTGTCCGATTACGATATCAATACATTGTCTGTTCAGATTTTCCAGGTTTACTCAGTCATGTTGTCTCGTATAAATGTGGAACATCTCTCTCCCTATATCCAAGTTGCTCATAACTGCTGTCACCTGCAGACATCTTCGTGATGCTTTCTACTCTTTCCTGGGCGCCTATAACGGCATAGGTACCGTCTGAAAAATGACAAAAAACAAGTACACGAAACTGCATTAGATATGAATGTTGGCCTATGATCGACTATCAGATACAAACATAAAAACTCTTTAATTATTTCAGATGTTCAGCTATAGTCAGTTCATGTTATGATATACTTTTGTATGTATTGAAAAATGATATTAAATAAGTGTGAGTGAATTTTTAAACCTGAAATCTACTTTAGGTGAGATTATGTGCGTTGTTTTGTTTGTTTTTAGACTAAATAGAGATATTCATGCAAAACCTGTTTCTGTCCGTCGTTCCTGTCCAAAACTCGGTAAAGATATATCTGTCATAGTGGTAGACCTCGTGGTGTTCTGATGGATCATTGAACGATGTCTTCGTGCCTGTACAATTATCACGAGGGCCATGGCAACTATTACCACTCCACAGCCGCTACCTATACCAATTGCTGCCACGTTGATGTCATCTTCCTTACTTGGTAAAGTGACAACTACAAGATATGTGATATATGCATAATCTTATTTTCATTTTGTTATTCAGAATTGTTTCTTAACAAGTTTTGTCTGACATTGTTCAATACATTATGTTTTTCATCAAATCTATTGACACAGATTTAATCTTTTGAACTGTAAACACCATTCCAACATTTTTATCTCAATATTTGTAATAATATTTTAATTAATTTAATCGAACTTTTGCAGATCAAATGTTTCCTGGTATCATCAGTTTTGTAAGTATATAATGTTACGAACATTCGTAACACACATTAATACATGAAGCTGTACATTATGCACCCATTTACAATGCTGACATCATAAAACTAAAATGGTACATATACCGTTACTTTTGCAAGATGTTTAATGCATATGCTCATTTATATATTCTATATTATTAAAAAAGGATCATTGTGAATTATAAACAATTTTATACCTATACATACTTCAGCGATAATCACAATGTATAATATCTATATATGTGTGTGTAACTGTATTTATGTACAGTATGTATGTACATGTAATTGCTTGCCGCACGACTATCTTTGTTAAGCTTGCCTCCTTTGTAACAAAGGTGCATGGTGTATGTCAGTTATCAGGTCAATTATGGATTTCATTAACATATAAAGATCATGAATTATATTCCGCAAGATATTCAAAACATGCAAAGGACTTTCCAAGAATTCTAAGAAGGCATTATGAACATATAAAAACATGATTTTACCTTTTATGTCACACCTATGGCCAGTTAGTCCATCTATACATGACGTCATACAGTTCCCAGTGTCTTTGTCACATCTCCCATCTTGACAATAGCCACACCTGTCTACACATTTGCTACCATGGAAGCCGGAGACACACTCTAAAGACAAAATGATGGATGGAATCAATAGCTAATGTTTTTGTCTGTGCAAATCAGATAATAGTATTTCGTTGCCTTTGACTACTGCAAACATTTACATAAACCATGCAAGTAAATAATAATGTCGCCATAACTGACACTAATGTAAATAATCAAAAGAAGACATAAGATAACTTGTTTTATTTCGACAAAAACATGGTCAGATTTAAACCATTTAAACCTGTCCTCTTATCAGTGTCGAACAGTCATTCCACGAAATATGTTTTGAATGTACAATCATTATACGTGGTGGAGATGTATCTAGCTGTAGATCCCTACTGGCTCAATATTGTGTCATCACACCTCATGGCGTCATGTCACAGAATTAAAATTACAACCATTATTTTAAAACGGACATGGAGTAAAAAAAACAGCCCGATAACATATTTTTTAATGAATTTCTTTTTTCATTCTCCCCGATTTCATATGGAAATTATGTTAATGAATCTTACCCTTCGTTCGCTATTTGTTTTCATCTGGATCTACAAACCTCAGATGAAATTGACTCTCATGTTAAATTATAAATGTATAACTTAAGGTACGACATTGCTATTATATAAAATATAATATAGGACGTCAGATAATGCACTACATGAGTATATATCAAGATTTCAAGCTACTTCAACACAATACCTATGCATTGTCCGTTCTCCTGAAAACAAGTATCGTCCTTGCAGTTGTCCGGGCAACTCAGAGAACAGTCGCTGGCATGGTATTCTGGTTCACATCCTTGAGATACAAATTAAGGAATATATTATTCACACCATGTCATAACTAACACAGAGGAGGAACACGCTTACTAGTACATATGTACCTACATGTGCATGTAAGATAATGCTTCAGTACATATATGTACATAGATGATCAGTTTCCTAGTATAAACCTGTACATATAAGATCAGTTTTACAGTGCATGCCTTGACATGTCACAGTACATACATGTACATGTATAAGTAAGATCAGTTTCCTAATAAATACCTGTACCTTTCTGATCAGCTTCCCAGTACATACTGATACACGATATTTTGCAGTACTTACCTGTAGATGTACCATTAATTGCACAGTAACTTCTTGTACATGTAAGACGAGTTTTCAGTACATACGATACCAGTACATGTTAGAGGTTTGTTTTCATTATTTACCTGTACATGTACGATCATTTTCACAGTACCTACCCGTACATGTAAGATCAATTTCGTAGTATCAACTTGCACATGAATTATCAGTCTCACAGTACATACCTATGCACCGACCATTAGTCTGATTACAAAATGTATCCTTGCATTTGACCGGGCAATTCATATCACACTGATTGCCATGATACCCAACAGCACATTCTGAAACAAAGAAATTTATTGGAATCATGAACATTGGTTTATGCAACAAAGTGTGCTTTTTCAAGGAATAAATGTGTTCCACCATCCACATACGTATTTGTAAAGTGTGCATTAACAATGGATTAAAGTTGTTCCAAACTACAATAAAAAAGTATAAGTTGATGGCGAAACCAGGTTTCGGGGAAGGAATACTAACTTGAACCATATATTTCATAAAACTAATATCTACAACATTTATAACAGGTCATTCGGTCGTAGAATACGCTTTCTCTGCCAACGATATGGGCTGCTGTGGCAGATATAAGGTATTTGATACGGAAGAAAAGGATTAATCGCTTTAAGTGATTTTTGTTTCAGAACTTAAGGCATAAAATATGACAGCTTTGAGCTTTTATATAAGCAGAGAATGTCGGACTATTACTCAGTACTACATTATACCACGAAAGTGAACGACCGTTAAAATAAAGTATGTGTATCCTAAAATTTGAAAGACACTTGACAATAACTGTCATAAAATATATATATATGTTAGGGAAATCCTCTTAGTCATAGAACAATCATCATAAATGAATTTCAATGAATAACTAAAATGATATGATATATTGTGTCTCTTTTAAAATCCATCTTAAACTGTAACATATTGATACACAATATGCTGTAATATACAATACCTTCACATTGTCCACCGAACTGACTACATGTGTTATCTTTACAAGCGATAGGACATGTTTGTTGGCACGTGCTTCCGTGGAATCCTTGTTCACATCCTGTAAATGGCACCAATATGATCGATGTCTACCCGATGAGTTCGGAAATGAATTACGACGGACATAGTTAAGACTTCTAGCTATAAAGTTCTAGTCTAGCCAAATTTAGTTTTTATGTTTTTGTAAATCCCATCTTTATGATTTGGTCTGGTTAGCTAGGTTTGTTTATCTTGACAACTGCAAATATCATAACAACGCACACGCCTTACGGTCAAACACACAAATAATTTATTTTCTTGCTTCTCTAAAATCAAACATTTTTAACCATATATTCGTTCAGAGGACATTTGACAATGATATTTTAGATAGCATGAATCATAATCTAGCTTACGTGTACAGAATCCGTTTCCCTGAATACACAAGTTGTCTTTACAGTTATTGGAACACGTCTGGTCGCAGGTGTTCCCATATAACCCGGGAACACATTCTGAATTTATTCAATAAAGGATAGCTTTTGTTAACTCAACTGAACAAATAATCGAACCAATAATTTTAGCTTAGCATGTTATTGTAACCAAAATCTTAAAACTAAATTAAAATGTTTGCTTTACATGCATCATTTGTATGTCCATGTTTCTCTAGTTCTTCTGTGATCATCTTATATAAAAAAAAAATACTTCAAAAAAATTTGAAAATGAATATTCAACATATTGATTATTTCTAATCACATTTTCAAATGCATGACAAATGAATCATTGTATGCTTGTAAATTTGATACAAAAATGTAGCTAAATGCCAATCATGAAGTTAGAACAGTTTATCAATAGCATTATTACCTGTACAAAACCTGTTACCCTGGATACATATGTTGTCTTTACAATAGGTAGGACACGTCTGAGTACAGGTACTACCGTGATATCCGGCTAGGCATTCTGAAGTATTATATTGGCAAATATTACTTTAATATAAGTATACTAGTTACTCCTGATCTAAAACTTAATTATTCTAATTTTGTTAATACCGATAACTGAAGCGAAATGCCTTAAGAAAATACATATGGAGCAACTAGTTATAAACTCAAAAACATTTTTTTCTGAAAAGCACTAACGTCATTTTGTTTTGTTTACATATATCTGAATTACTTAAGCGTATTATTGTTTGATGCACAGGCATAGTTATGTTAACTTGTTTCACAAGTTATGTTGTGTTCTCACTTAAGTCATTGTTCATCATATCAAGTATATAATGAAGTTCATCATATCGAGCATATAATGAAACCCACCCAATACATAAAACGGTAAATATACAGCGAATATCTGGTAAGCGTCAATTCTTTATTGTTAATTTCTTGGTCTGTCCGGCTTATACAATTTTGCAATTACTCAATACACAATTTTACAGAATAAATAGTAGATTCCCTGCGTTGACTTTGTCGCCAAACAGGATGTATACACGTTAATACAAATTCCCCTTGAAATTATCTTAATCATAACTAAATTTCAATGTATTGCTTTCGTTTCAAGTTTATGTGAACAAGTGTGGTACCATTGATTGGTATTTAGTGTGAAACTATATGTCACGATTCAACTCAAGGATTCGAATACGTGAACAGGTTTTGTTAAGATCTGTGTTTTGACCTTTTCTGATTTTTTCTCTCTTCAAAATGTAGCATTACTGGTACATTTCTGATAGAGTGTAAGCTAAAGTATTGTGGTATATATTTCTCGGTATGTTTTATTTTAACACATCAATTGATTGATTTATCTCTCATTATTTTTATTTTATTTCGTATTTACACTTACTTATAACATCAAAGGAAGCAAAAATAATATAACCTTCTTTTGACAAAACTCTGCAGTCAATTATATGATCACAATTGATTGCAAGAATACAGAACAAAAGCTATAGGTATCAAAACATACATGTACGACTGCTTTTTCCAAATAAGATTTCATAGTCAGCGTTTATGCAATGAGAAAACTGGACATCTCAGAGTCGTTCAAAGAAGCATTTATAAGTTGCGCTAGTGAAAATATATCTGCACGGTTATAATTTCTTTCACATAGTTATTTACAAAATAGGGATATTCCTTGCGGAACACTCATGTAGAAAATGGGTGTTGTCCTAGCTCCTACTTTAAAGTGTCGTATCACGTTATCTATATTAACATCTTGTTTACTAATTAAACTAATTATCGGAACAGTCTAGAAATAATTAACGCTAGCAAAAAATTGGAAATACATATTTGATAGTAAATGGAACAAAAAAGTATATCCCCTTTTTAATGTTAGATTACTTACGACTACATTTTCCGGACAATTTGTCGCAGACCGGATCGACACAGTTCGGGGAGCAGGCGACACAAAGAGGACCGAAGAAACGGTCTTCACAGCCTAATTAAAAGTAAGCATGATGTATTGATAGAGTATATCATGAAAATGATAAACAATCAAGGACTTTATATCTTTACTTAAACCACTGTTGAATTATTAAATTTTAAATAATATTAACTTTTGCGTTTATTTGACAATACTTACATGAAGGCTACTGATTCAATTTACATGTAACGCCAAATTTGTATCCACTCTAGGGCAAATACTTAACTTTATACATTAAAAGCCACCGAGCGCTAACATCCGGGCAAACAAGAGAGAAAAAGTTAAAACAACTGGTTTCATAATTGTTGTACAGTAAATAAACCTTCTATATAATTATGATACTTATCTTACATGGCATATCATTTAAAACCTGGATGCAGACTGTGTCACATCATGAGGAGGTTAGGTAACATAAGAATGTTTTAAGACCAGGTTTATGTATTCACGAGGGAACAATAAGTACCAGGGGTAAGCTTCCGTTATCCCTGAACACATTATAAAGTTGTCGGATAACAGGTGTCCAGCGAAGCCATCATGCGAGAAATTAGATAAGTACCAATAAAATCAAAACTGTGATATTGAAATATAACCTAAATATATATCAAGGCACCTCTACATATTCCTTACACTAATGTAATATCTCCATATAAAGTTAAATCTTTAAGTTGATATAACAAATCATTACATTGATATCTTACCTGTACACACACTGCTATATTGGTCACAAATTTTGTCTTGACAGTTATTAGAACACGATTGGTCACACTGGATGCCATGGTACCCATTGACACAAGCTAAAAAAACATCATACATAACTTGGTCTGAGTATGTTGTTCGTTTGAAATTGCGGAACACATCAATGAAATATTTTTATTATTATGAAAAGGTTAGTTTGAAATAAGAGATAATATATGATATCTATAATTATAACTTTTTTACAAGTAAAATATTGAAAAATATGTATTCTATAAAAAAAGCGATATTTTAGTGAAAATGTAACTTTTCCTGATTTGACGAATTAAACACTGATTACAAACTTCCATAAGAAAAATTACAGATGACCTATATGGTCAAAGTCTGGCTCGCTGAATTATAATAAGTCCTCGATAAAATCATATAAATATATATATATAGTAAATGATAAATAAATAAGTCCTTGCGAAGGAAAATATAGAAAAGAAGAAGGCAGAAAGGCCTAGCGGACGATCTGAAAAAAATATGTTTTTATTCTCTCTCTCTATATATATATATGAATTGTTTATTTATATTACAATAATTATGAAACAAGTTATTTCAAGTTATACAAATCACTCGTGTTGGCCTTGATGTTAGCGCGCGGGGGTCTTAATGTGGAGGAAACCGGAATACCCGGAGAAAACCCATGTGATCGGGCAGGTGACCCCGGCCGCCTTAGTGAAAGGCAAGTGCACTATTCACTGCACCACCCGAGCCAAACCAGACTTTGTAGGTCAGCAATTCTAACTGTGTGATCGGAGGAGCCTAATGTCAAATGAAACACCGGGTCAGCGTCTTCAAGGCTCAAGTCATGCTAAATGATGGCCGAAAGTCAAGGGGAACCTGATCATCTCTGACAGTGATGAAGGATAACTTACAAAGGTTGTGTTTATATTGATCATAAAGGTAGGTGGTGACACAACCCTGCCTTGTTTATCGACCACCCACTTTTCTAGATTTGGCGCTTATGAAATACAATTATACGTTTATGAAAACTGTATTCACCTTCACAGATACCAGTATCCTGCATGCACATTCTGTCTTTGCAATTTGTTGGACACGTATGTTGACACATGTTGCCATGGTATCCTGAATCACATCCTGAAAGTATCAATTATGTGTAAGGAAAAATAAACTAAACAAGTACAAAATATTTCACAAAGCTCTATGCTGAATGGTTATGTACATGTAAAAATGTATGCATATGCGATAGACGATTACACTCGTTAGTCATGATATACGTACATGTATTAGTGTATTTTGGTTCTTAAAAAATACCCCCAAAACAAACAAACAGAACAGTTGCAGAAAGCGTACGTTACTTGGATTACTTATTGATACATCTGATGCCATTACTATTTAAGTGCGAAGGTAAGATTTGAGTTTGACGTACTGTTTAACCTTGATTTAAACACGAGTTCACAGTTGTTAAGATTAATGAACCCCGATATTATCCATTTAGCTGATAAGTTAGACAAGCTGAAAAATTATGAATATAAGGAACAAGCAGATTGATTAATAGTTTATCACCCGCAGTGTGAATGGGAATAAGTATACATGTACGTAAATTATATGAAAGTCTTAGACTTGTTCAGTATTTAAACATTTAACGATCAATATTATGATATACCTGTAGTACAGAAACCGTTGTCCTGGGAACATGTATTGTTTTTACAGTTGGCTGGACAGGTCTGATATACACATATTGCCATGGAATCCAACAACACATTCTGTAATTGATAATCAATTGTTTGGAAATCATCTTGATCAAATTTTATCTTTCTTTCAAAGAATTAAATAATTACTAATTTTATCTTTTTAAGACAACCAGGAAAGGTGGATACCCCGATACCTGATTACCTTGAAATCGGAAAAGAATTTTCTAATCTCATAATATATAATATAAATATAAAACAATGACAAACGAATGCACTGAATTTATATTACAACAATTATAAATCACGTTTTCCTACTTATACTAATCACATGTTAGTTTTTTTCATTTGAAATGATACCAGAGAACACCCCCTCTTCCCCCCTCCCCTCCCCCACCCGAGTGAACAATTCCGAATTGTGCATTGTGCATTGTATTCCGCAGGTGTCATTTAAATATTCTACAACAATACATGAACAATTCTATAGGCTATTAATAGTCTATCAAATATGTTTTTTACACCTAAAGGATAAGTTCTGAAGTGTTTCCTTTCTTACCACTACTAAAAGAAATCATGTGTAAGCGATATCCAGTATCTACGACACGTGACCATGTATCACGCGTTATTTTGTATTGAATAATAGTATGTATGACATGGAAGTACAAACATATATGCATATCGCAGTGAACTTAATCATTAACGAATATCTTCCTATGCAATGACACAATAAATACGAAGGGACCTAAACCTTGGCGACTTTAATTTTGCTCGGAAATAAATGATAAAAGAACATGAATAGAAAAAAAAACTGTCGCAGAAGGCATAGATCGCCTTTTTCAAGATGTTTGATTCCTCAGGAACCACATTTCCGTAAGACTATTGATCGTTAACTTTACGGTTAATTTCAAATATTTGTATCAAAACTTTACCTGGAGGTGCTGGCAAAACAATAAGTCAAAACGAGTGACACAATTACCTCTCCGTTAAAGTAAAGAAATATATACCCCAAAACATACCTATATGTGTCTTTATTGCTGTAAAGACCTGCTTCATATCCTAAAATTGCCCGATTTTTTGGTTCAGTCAATAAAAACAATATGGAATATTGTTTACTGATATCTAAATGTCCTTAATTCTACTGTTAAGCAGTAAATTATCTTTTGTCATCGTTAATGTTGATCGGAATCATTTAAAAGCATTGTAAAGGTTGATATAACCACTTGAATTATGTATTGAAAACATTTAAAAAAGAAATATCAATGGGTACCAACACTAATAATTATAATTACTTAACAAAGTAGTTAAAGCTACTTAAAGCAAATAAGTTGGAAATAATAGTAGTTGCATCAACACTCCCTACTCCTTTTGTTAATAGAAGAACTTACGATCACAATTTCCGGATGTTTTGTCGCAAACAGGATCGACACAGTTCGGGGAACAGGCAGCACAAAAAGGTCCAAAGAAACTGTTATCACAATCTGATAAGATATGAAATTAATATCGGATAAACTTTTTTCCGTTATGGATAGTATCATCAAAACAGAAGGCCAAGGCATGTTGAATATGCAATATGTGTTTTGTTTACTCTACCGAAATATACATGTACCAATGGTTCAATTTTTCAAATCAATTTGGTTGAGTTTCGAGTAATTCTTCACAAATACATCAAATAAAACATAATGGAAACGCAAAACAATAACATGTCCGCAGATCACAACATACAAGAGTATTCAAAATAGGTTCTCACTTCATAATTCCTAGAAGAAGGAAACCAGCGTATCCTTGCGTGAATGGTTGCATAAATGGATGTCAAAATACGATTTCGAGAGAACACGTTTGAACTCGTTTAAACCAAACAAGCATCAAATAATTGCTTTTAATTAAATCCGAGTAAAAATGCTTATTTTCGTTCTAGAATGAAATACAAGCATTTAAACTGATAAAGGTTAGCAACATTAAACGATGTACCTTTAGTCACAAGCATTCTCGTTTGAAGAGCAGCATAAATAAAAGAGGCGGAAGGATGTATTTCCTTTTACGTAAGTGGTGCGGTATGCATTGAATACATATGTAATTATGCTTAGGAAAGGTTTTGTCTGTGCTGATAAGAGAATGGAAGGGGATCAGATTCACAACAAAACCCTCATTCATATCCGTTTTTAGTTTCAATCGGCAGTACCGTATCCCGTGATATCAATATATGAGGATGCAAACAACTACATATTCTATATAAACGCGGACTTTCAAACTAACCATGTCATTGAAAATGTTTTATTTTTTGTGTCAGAAGAACTTTTATCTGAACCAGAATAGCTCCTGCAGTCCTATCAAAATATTTATTTGATCGATCGTATCATTGCCTACGTACACGTTCCCTCACATAAACCGTTTCCTTGATCATACATTTTCCCCTCACAGTTTACCCGACATTATTGATCATAAATGTCGATCCCATTGACAAAAGCTGAATAAACACGGTACATTCAATTATTGGATGGTGTTTCGACAAAACGTTACAAAGCACATCAGGTACTTTTAAATCAAACAAGTGAAGCCAAATTAAATCCAAGACCATATTTCATTAAGGCCTTAATGCAAGAGGTGATATTACCAAATATATTACCAAATGTGTCATATTATCAAATTAGTACTAAAAGGGTGACAAAGTACATGTATTTGTATAGATATAAGACAATGTTTATTTCATTGAACTCCGTTGATATAGCATTAACAATCAATGTGATTGACACAGCCTTGGTAGCGAACGGGCATTATGAAGTGTTTCCCTCTAAAGCCGCAAACAACGTTATAGTAAATGTAGAGTGGTTCATCTGTATCAAATGTAACATTTTTCATCTGTAAGTTGCTGTAACTAAATCAAAATTTACTGATTGAAATATAAAGTGTATGAGTTATACCTTTGAAACATCATAATCTTATATATTCTGTATACGGTGAACTTTGCTGGCCAATATCGATCACATCGATCGCCATTAGAGACACGATGTCAAAATAGTTCTATATCAAAATTCATTAATACAATTTCGATTTATTTTTCACTTATATATGTATAAACTACAACACACAGTTAATAAGATGACAACATGTGTCCGATTACTATAATGTTAGTCACAAAAATGGATGAAATTGAGACTACTAGGAAAGCAATACAAAAATCAGTTTAGGCCAGCAAGAGTAAAACAATACTGTAACTTTATTCCTGGTTCATCTCCACATCACTGCATGTTTATCATAAACTCACCAAAAAACCAATATTGTATGTTTTAATCATAGATACAGGTATTTTATAAGACTTTTACATACCCAGGGATGTAAGATAGGGAAATTCCACACGAGGGATTTTGCCAAATTTATAAATCCCGAGGGTGGAATTTCCGTATTCTACACCCTTGGCCATAAAAGAGTCATATCAGCTCAAAAACCACGAAAATGAGTTTGGACTGGCAACCATTTTGAAAATATCAATTTTTCATGTGACCTTTTTAAACGAAAACGAATCTGTCAGCCAGATTTAGAATACTCCATAATTCCAAACAAAGTTTGCGCAGAATAAATGATCACATCTTTCTAAGGTATACGGTAAATATATCGTAAAAGGTTTAAATTTAATCACGTCGCCTTTTCCACATTGCAGCATCGGAGATTTCCAAACTCGTGACGTGACGTCATTGTTGAGCCATTGTGACGTCACGTCACATGAAATGGGATGTAAGATAGAAATTTCCCTCACCCCTTTCTTACCATTGACAGCTGTATCTTACACATGGAATGAGATAATGACGTTTTACTTACCTGAGCAAACACCGGACTCCACATTGCACACGCCATTCAAACAATTTGTCGGACATGCTGTACAAACAAGCCCGGACTTATAAAATTCCGGCGCACAGTCTAAAAATAATAAGACGTTACTGTGTATCATAATAAGTGTGTTATTACGTAATCACTGATGATTCAAAGTATTAAACTATAATTATCAATGTGATAAAATAGTACAGAATTTAATAGGTGTGTAATCTAACAGTTAGTTTAATAGTATTATAGACAATGGCACTTCGTTGAAATAAAGAAAACAATATTGCGATAATGAAAACAATAGTAAACAACTTAATGGAAAACATTCGTGATGTAATTTGTATGTCAACGAATGAAATTATCTTATATTCTAATGATATATGAATAAATGTGTAAATGACAAACTGTTCAATGTATTTGCTCTTCAGGTGCCTAGTAACACTGAATATCTGAAACAATGGCAATAATTGTGCAAAATTCAACGTCTTCTTTTGTGAATAACACATTTTTGTATAATTCCTGGAGTTTTGTCAATTTTCACATTTGTTTGATATATATCGATATGAACATTCGTCTATTACAGTTAAAAAATCTACATAAAATGTATTTACTTACATGTACACTGGCCGCTGTTAGGATGACACAGGCTATTAACACAGGTTGTATCACAGTTGCTATCACAGTTACTTTTTCCATATTTTCCTACTGGACAACCTGGAATTTGTATCTCTTATGATGCAATATGCTCAAATAGCTTTTCCTTCTAAAACGAACTTTATCATTTTTGCGCTTAATACAGAAGTATGGTACATTGAAATATGAACATCAATACAAAGCAGCTATTATTTTTTTTTTGATTGAATTGATTAAGGTTATGACCTCTCACCAAGAGCATCTGCAACAAAACAAGCCACGAATAAAGTCTATTATTTGTACGTGTGTAACAAAATACAAAAAAACTTGAAAATCTTATATAAAGTAACAGAAAATTACCTGATCATATGCGCTTCAAATAAATTAAAATCAATTATACAGTTTCAATGTCTAAAGTAATTTTATATTAGTTTGTCTCTATATTAGGTGTCATGCATTATACAAGTGGCTACTGAAAAAAGAGTATTTTGACCGGTCTTTAAAATGAGTACTATTTCTGCAGCAGGTGCTTATTATATGTTAACAGTTTAGGATTACATGCACAGAACACATATATATTAAAATAAGAAAGAAAAATAAAAGATCTTTATACTATTGCTTTTACAACAAGCATGAAACCTGTTTTTCCATCATATATAATTCACATTTGTTGGCCCGGATGGAAAAATAAAAGGATCTTACTACGAGAGGAACCAGAGTACCCGAGGAAAACCCACGTGGTCGGGCTGGTGATTCAACACCTTTGCACGTCCAATCGGGGACACCCTTGCAGATCGGGGATCGGGAAATGAATAAACCTGCTGTTATCCACTGCATGACCAAAATAAATCTGCTGCACCATTACAATATTTGGGATCTTTACATTTCTCACTACCTCTAGCTACCTTTTATTTCATAGCGCCTTGCTTGGCAATACCTCAATTTTAACTTTAAAGTTTGTTCAGGTGAGGATGGCAATCGGTTCTATCCTCAGACCAGTATACTAAAGTCTTTAAAAAAGGCATATACTATTACCAGCTTAACGTTAGGCATTAAGGGTAATAGTAACATCTGCTTCACCCTTTGTCAGTATAATGTTACAGGAAGAATTACTTTTGCAAGGTATTCCAATGAGATAGCACTTTTAAGTCGGCATCAGATCCGTGCTATCACAAGGAGGCAATTACAACAACATACCCTGCCTCCAGCACAGATACATGCATACATGCATACGCAATACAAATGGGAGCACGTCCTTAAATTACCATAGCTGTTAATAGGACATTTAACATAATAAAACGAAATCCACCAGGGAATCGGATATAGGATTAAGAATACTTAATAATCACTTTAGTATTAAGATGACCATAAATTTATGGATAAAAGCAAATAAAATATGAATATCAGTCAAGGTTTTTTTTTAAATTTACATGTTTCGTGATGTTCACGTGTGAAAAAAAATATTCTTTTGATTCTACTCTAATATTTTCGAAATTCTTTTATTTTTTTCTTGTAAGATTTGTCTCCCTTTGCATAACATAGTGATCCAAACCATTGATAGGTTTTGGTTTTATGATTTTCTTGCAATCTTTGTCATAATGCTGTTTATTTCAATAATATTAAAGCTATTATCTAAACGAGCAGATTTCCACAACCTTGACGCGTACATGTACATTGTACGTTACATAGCGCGGCAAGGTATTTTAGATATTTCGATATTTGACAATAGCCTGGTATAGGGATTAATCTGGATATCTCAAACAACATGCAGTATGAATTGGAGTAAATTTGCCACACATTCCAGACAAATTACCAGGAACGAAGCATGTTATTTGGGGTAAGCAAATATCACCACTTACATAGCCTAAATAGCAAGGGCATAACAGCCCGGGTGGTGAATTGTTTAAATTGCGACACACAATGTTCCTTTGTTTCATTCTTGTCAGTTTAGTTTATTTGTCTCATACAAAATCTTTAGTTCGATGATTTAAGTTTTCAGGGCACGAATGACATATACACACAATACAACAAAATGGAGACATCATATGACGTATCAATGGTTCACATCAAACTACTGCACGAATACAATCACCATAAACTTGTACTTCACAGAGCTCCAGTATAGCTTGTGTAGAGTACCAAGGGTAAGTTTTTGTTCGACGGTCGACGTAAATTGTCAGGTATCGGGTGTTGCCTGTACATGATGTGATTCGTGGAGTTAGGTCCACCATACATTGTGTAGAGGTTGTGTCGCTATGACAGCTATCAGTGTTTCCCCAATCTGTTGTATTTGACAGGTACATTTTATAGCCAGCGAATCGAGCTTTATGCTGTTGGTGTTCATCTGATTGATAAGAATATAAGTAATAACAAGTCTAAATAGATTGACATTTTGAATAAAATATTGTCATGTTGCTGGTTTCATTTCATAAGTATATCAACGTGTCATGTAAGACTGCTGTATTCATTTAATGTTTATTTCCTTCTTACACGTGTACTTAGTACATGTAACTGTTTTACAATTTTATTTAAATTTCGCCGATTTTAGCATCAAAAAAAGAATACACAAAAAAATAACGATTAAATTAATTTAATGTCTACTGCATGCAAAACGAATTTTGAGTCTGTTTTCATCATTCTACCCGTTTACTGTAGCTTTCTTCCGTAAGACTTATTTTTGTAGTCGTTACAACCTTTGTGAAACACAGGACTATGACAAGAAAACGTGATATGTTTAAGTGAATTAACCTCGATATTACTCTTTATAACATTTTCTATATCTTATTATATATACCTCAATTTGAATGTGTTTATAACAAAAAAAAGGTTCCAACAATTTTCACATTTGAAAATCCTGGCGTCAAATCTGGTGACAAACGTTCAATATATTTGCTTGAATATAGAAATTTTATGAAGATATTATAACAGAAATGACAGGTTTTCCTTTGAAATGTATGCATTGAGCTTATGTTTTCTAGAATCTTAATTCAAATCTGCAGGAATAATAACTTATAATGGGAACGTTTGAAAAAAATGTGCCTTAAAGTGACCCCGGATCGTTTAGTCTGGCTTACCTCAGAATTGTCTACTGTATGAACATTTTGTTTTTCAATCAAACCCTTGCATAGGGAAATGCTAATGCCTATTGGACAAGAGATCAAATGGGCATGTATCGCTCACCTGCCTTTCAATACTGTTTGATATCACAATGCAACACCCGTAAACTTCAAAGTTTGTCAAGATAAATTAAAATGTAGCAGTTAAGGTAACGGTACAGACAAAGTATCTTCATTCCATAAAATGTCCTTAGCTTTCTTGGGAAATTTAACAAACTTAATTGTTGCACTTTCCACACTGGCCAAGGTAATTCATTCAAGGAAACAAAGGATATATCTTCGCGAGAAAAACACTTAATGTTACTACCCTAGACCCTGAAGTACCATAAGTTTTTAACTATATTATTATGACATTATTGACCAATAAAACCTAGAACGTATGTCAAGGTTCGTTTTTTCAAACCGTGTAGTGCTTCAACTAAAACATGTATCTGTTGGTTCTTCATAAAATGTCATTTGAGGATATTTTGTTTTACATGTTTGACACTTTCGACCGTTAATTTCATAATTTTCTATGGTATATATGCCAGTATGTTTACATTATTTTATGTTTGGGACATTTCCGATAGTAAAAAGACTGAACAAGATCGACAAGACCACACGTACAGTTGATTAGATCTTAGAGTTGCATCGGGAAAAAAAATTAGGAAGAATAAATGTCATATGAAGTACATTTTTTCTTATAAAGGAACGATTATACAATAGGAAAAATGAAATAAGAGTAATTCAAACCAAAATGTAATACAATTCATTTATGGTCAATCCGTATTAAACATTATTAGAAATAAGTAATAAATCGGCAAACAATGAAGGAAAACATATTTTCTATGGTTTACTTCTTTTAACATTTCCAAACTTAACAGATACAATGATTTATTGTATTGATATAATTTCAAAAAATTACGTTTCTACTTGTTTTGTTAACTTTTTGATATACCGCCAATATTGGAAAGATAGCAATAAACATTGGATTTAGTGGAAAAATATTAGATTTTAATAAAACTATTCACAGATCATATTTAACAATATTATTGAATAACCGGGCAGAAAATATTACACTGAATATTATTGGAAAATAATGCAAACCACTAGCCTATATGTACTGTCATGTAGCAGAATTTAAATATCAGGAATATTGGATATTGACTAGCTGTATCAAACATTACTATTATGGCATCACAGTACTAACTAAGTCATAGTCACCAGTCTGAATTATTGTCTTATATCTCATTGATGAGCATACGTGAACATACAGCAATCGGTTTATCTTTCCGGACGTCTGTTAACCTGTCCGATTTTCGTTTCTGCATTATAACTTATTGACATACTATCTGACATCCATTACAGATGTAATGCTTTTACAACTTCCGACGACTAAAGTTGGATTTTAAGAGAAATCTGCACATATTTTATTAATATTTTAGACTCTGATTAGTTAGTGTTTTTTGCACTAAACTGTAGCAAGACGAAAATAAACACACAAATCTGATTGCACCTTAAAAATCTAATACATTGGACAGAAAAACAAACTCGATTATGGCTGAACTTGTTAAACATCAACATGCCCCCTAGAAGATGGTATACGCACCCAACATTTCAATCCCCTGTCAAGTCATATTCGAAGACTCGAATTAAACTTCGTGATTTAGATATCTATTTTGATTTGTTTTCGTTAGTTATAATAATCATCACACCCATATTAATATTTTTTGCAAACAGAAATTATTATAGGTGTCATCATGACAAATAGCTGTTGTTTTGATAAACCAAAAGTATCACAGTAAAGTTCTGCGATACCAAATGTTACCGGTGAATTCATGTTAAAGCAAAACCAAGTATCTTGTGACCTTCATGTATCATTGAACTTGACATAAAATGTCTTATCATAACATTTAGTGTAGTTTTAAAAAATCTAGATATGTTCCAAATATCATAATACTTTTGTATTAGAATATTCATAAGATATATAAGTAATTAATAACACCAAATAATGTTATAAAATATAGCATATAATTTAAAGTTCATATATCAATCTAAGTCCCTTTGCTTTTGTTCTCTTGTTCACAATAATTTTACTATGATCATAGTGGTTCGTACAATCATTTACATGGATTGAGTGACATCCGAATTACATTCATACGTATTAGTAGGGAGATGGTCTCACAAATGTATACACTTATATTCAGATCAATTTATTTGAAAAAGTGAAAGCACTATAACATCGTTGTTATATTTATATGTGTATTGTTTCTATTTTCATTTCAAATATCTAGCTGTGTATGATATGAAATTGATATAAGTAATGTAAGCAAATAAGAATTGAAGAATGAATATTAAAATAGAAAAGAAAAGAATAATGAACGACAATGTTTCTGTGCAAATGATGACCAAACTAAACTCAAAAACTTTGAACCTATACAATTATTGCTGTGTGAATTTGAGATGTATTAAAGAGCTCTATCATATATATAATGCATGTACTTACATATACACTTTGTTTTGTATAGTATGTTCTTGATAACAGTCATTAATCCAAGTATATAAATCACATAAAAGATCCCTGACGTAGCACAATTAATTATAAGTTAAAAACACACTAATGAGTATTTTAATTATTTGTTTAAAAATAGAATATAAGTAGAATTCATATGTAGCCCCCAAGTATGCATTAGTGATAAATAAATATTATTCAATACTCATAGATGTGGTCTCAGAAAAAATGAGGAATTATGGAATAATCAACTAAACTTGAAAATTAAATCAAAAGAAGGAATATTACTGTGAAGGAACTAGGGAGAAAGGTACCCCATAAAGAGCTGTTTCAGCCCCACCCTATTCAATAACACAATACATAGCATAACTTCAGATCTAGATAAAAAATGCTGATGCGACTGGAACATTTTTCTGGCATTTAAATCGTAATGTAAAAAGATCTAGGTAAAAAAGTATCATCCGAACATGTTAAATTCTACCATTGGTGTCAAAGCTTGGGCTTTTACATATATCAAAGAAATAACTTAGTTAAATTTGAACAATAAAGACGAGATTACAATTACAATTGGTTGTCAAATTAAATATATGAAAAGTATTTATAAATTCTTAAATTTACCTTTGATAGGGAACTTATCTCTTCAACTTCCGTTCCGTCGAGTTTCTGTTTTTTTCTCATCCATATTATAGATAAAGGTTTAGGCATTTTTCATTTCTTTTAGTAAAGCAAAAAAATTATCTCTACTTTATGTATGTTTATACACTTACAAACGAAAAGTTATTTATTTTTTCAATCTTTCGAGCTAAGCCCTTCTTCAGGGATTAAATGGTTTTTTTTCAAGATGAGTAACTCATCCTGTTTTTCAAGATGGATGTGACATAGAGGTCCGATAGCATTTAATCCCTGACGAAGGGCTAAGCCCGAAAGCTTGGAAGAAGACTGACTTTTTAGTTTGTTAGTATTATTGGGTTCCCTATAGGAACATGTGTTTATAGACAATATGTTTAAACATTTCAGTTTTGCTTATACATGTACATATATGTCTGGTCCAGCACTCTCTGCCAATTGAACTATATAACGGCACAACGACCTACAAAAATACATACACTATAATTAGAGCGGTATTGAACTATATCTTTTGAGATTTTTGTTTTTATAAAAATACAGCGAAATCACTTGGTAATGTTGACTATTAAAAGCATTTATACGAGGTATACTTTAAATTTTCATAAATGGGAATTTCCCGATTTTTTTACATTCATTTTTTTTCAAAATATTACATGTACTTTAATTTGGTGTCCTTTGGTATGATATATTGATAAAAAGTCTTTTATAAACTTTTTGTGATTTTCTTTTAAAAAAGAAAATAATATAACTCAAACGACATATTCTGCTTTCTATTACTCAAAAAGTTTTCCTATTTATATTTTGTGTGGGACATTTTCGAAGGCTTTCATAAAATCCATGTACACTACGTCTATCTCTCCGCCCTTGTCAAATATTTCAGTCCAATCTTCTAG